GCCAATGCTGAAACTAACGTTTCGTTGGCAACGTCGACTCCGTCATCGGCTCCGACGCTGGGCATCTATTTTGTCGCTGATAAAGCCTCGGCGCCGGTCGTCGAGCGCGGACGTTCCGATATGTCGGCAGTGATGGGCGCCACACTGCGCCGGTTGTCTCTTTTATCACTCAGCGTCCTGACGCTGGCCAGTAAATCTCAGTTCACCAAGAAGACGGTTCGATTCACCGATTCACCCGTATCAAGTTTCGACGCTCCGTCGCGTCTGTTCTGTTCGGCCAAATGTCAGAGGCAGGAGGCGACTGGCTGCGGCGGTTTCGTCTACGGAGACGATGGAATATGCCACCTGTACAATGGGCGAAACGTATGTGAGGGACCGGCTACCCCGCCCGACGAGGGCCAGCCGACGTCAGAGCGATGGATCAGATCAGTCTGCCCAGGTAAGCGTGCTTGTTCAAATCCCAAAGCACAAGGCACAAGTGCAAGGGAGGCAATTGGGTAGCATACTTCTTCACATCCCTCTAATGCGTCTGCTGAACAGATTATATATAACCGTTCAGGGACAAATCTCCAAGCAGGGTGCACACATGAAAGATCAGCTCAGAACTGAGTTTCCAAAAACTCATTCGCAATTTCTTTTCCATCCTTAGGGCAAGCAAATCTTTCTCCCGCGCGCCTATATCCCCCTGATTCGAGCTGGACGGTCAGTGGTCACTAGAGATGTCAATCGGGTACCAACTTTTTGGTAAACCGATACCAAACCAATACCAACTTGGCATGTGGTATTTCAATCCTAATATGTTTGGTATTTTGTTATTATGAACCCTCACTAATGCGAATGATGCTGATAAATTGGTAAAAAGTTTGTATTTCCCTCATGCTCCCAAGTTGGTTCGGTTTCGGTATAGTTCCTCACGGATTTGATTGGTATTAATTTAAGTGACCATCCCACCTTAACATTAGTTTGGAGTTGAGATAGCCAAATTGGTGGCCATGGCCTGAAAATACCGGTTTGGGCACTCACAACATCGAAAGATGCTTTAATGCGGAGATATGGAATTTCAAACTTGCAGTTTTCGGATTCTAAGGGGCTAATGCATTGGAATGCCCCCTTAGAATTTGTGACTTCAGCGCAGATCTAACGATTTTAAATCTTTTACTAAAACGTTTGGTAGCACGCGGTGTAATATGCCGCTTTGCGCGCAACAAGTGCCGCACTTTCAAATAAAGTCGCTAGGAACAGCGGAGATCCCAAAAAGTAAACAAAAGTAAAGGTCTAATATCTTGAAAAACCGGTAAATATTTTTCGATGAAATTTGGTAGATATTCGTTTTCGCTCTTTCTGAACCTAGCGACATCACTTTCATGCTAATTCATTAACTTTTTTGAAGGTGAGAGCCGGGAGGGTCCCTTTAATTGGTTTGGTATCGGTATTCCGATTTTCTGTACCTAATTGACATCACCAGTGGTCACCTTCAAAAACTTCGACTTAAAAAGAAAACGACAAAAAAGTTTAATAGGTACTTATTTCCCTTTGTTCATCTTAGTCTACGTTTTCATGGCACAAGTTAAGCCGTTCCATGGCACAAGTTGCAAAATAGATTTAAAAAATAAATTTAGTCCAAACCTTTTGATTGGAAGGATTCACAAGGACAGAGCCACCGCTAAGCGAAGCTTGTTGCAGTGACCCTGCCCTCTACCCTCCGATCGCGCAATTCCAGTTCTATGGCAGAATTTAGAGTCTAAAGTTTAACGTGCGCACATAGCCGCGCAGGGCCGGTCCCCTCACTGACTTCGCCTGGCTACGGCCTGCCACCAACCGCAACCATACCTGCCGGGAGCGTATTTGGAAATTCCGACCTCGACGGGCATCTGTGGTAGAAAACCACCACTTTCGTAGTCAGGAGGCCCATAAATGTCAAGCGCCCGTCGTGCTTCGAACCCGGACTGTTATAACCGGGAACGCGTGCTCTCACCACGCGGAGTCCAACGCTCTACCAACTGAGCTACGGGACCGGATTTGCTCCATCATAGCATTTAGGCATCATTTAAAAATATGAAGATAGGATTAGGTGCTAGCTAAAACCATATATAGTATATACGCTCATTTTTTTTTGCATAAGGTGAATGGTATCCGAGAAAAACGCACGTGAAATTTCGCTAAACCGATTTAGACGTGTCATGGAAACGCAGTGTTATGGACCCTCATATTTCAGTCGTCTCTGTTCTATTCCAGGAACCATCGGCTCGCGTTGCAGCTGTCCCCCCGGTTTTACGCGCTGCGCCGGTCGCTGCTACCATCGACTCGCCCTAGAGAAGGTGCACTACGCCGTAGCGGAGGGCCAGTGCGCCGCGCTGCTGGGCGCCCACCTGGCCGTGCCCCGTTCGGAAGCCGAGAACCAGTGCGCTATCAATCTGGCTGTTGGCGATGATGTCTGGTTGGGAGTCACTGACAAGGTCACCGAAGGCACGTGGATGGGGAAGGACACCTGCGGACGAGTGTCGCCCTCTGCAGCCTGGTGGATGCGCGGCGAGCCCAACAACTGGGGCGAAACCAACAACGCCGATTGTATCTACATCCGCTCTTCGGGGGAGTGGGCGGACTGGGACTGCCCCACGCTGAGTTTTCCCTTGTGTCAGCTTTGGCTGTGTCATAGAGAAGATTGCGTCTGAGCAGGGCGGGAGCAGAGCTCAGACGCCAGCACAAATGCACACCAGTAGAGATGTCAATCGGATACCAATACCAACTTTTTGGTATACCGATACCAAACCGATACCAACTCGGTATTTGGTATTTCAATCCTAATGTGTTTGGTATTTTGTTGGTATGATGAACCCTCGCTAATGTTTAAGAGGCTAATAATCAGATAGCCATCTTGTAGCCCGTGTCCGAAAACCTATCGGTCTACCTCCTTACGGCCGATTTCGGCCTCCATTCGTAGTTATCGGCAATTTTAAAAGAAAATACGCCAGGAATGCGTCCTTATCCCAGGAATGCGTTCTTATCCGACAATACAGCCACCCGCGGCGAGGCTTTGTTTTTTTACCAATCAGCTCCAACCAGCTCAGCTTTAACCAATCAGCTTATCTGACACAATCCGACGAGTCTGTCTTCTGAACGCTGATTGGCTTGAGTGTGACGTCATCGCTATGCCATCATACAGTAGGTGCCGTAGAGAGTATCAACATAGTACCAATATGTTAAATAGTTTTAAATACTTTTTCGCGAATTGTGCACTTCTGGCACCAGTTTTAAAAAGAAAATGAAAAATAATAATGTCAAAATGAAAAACAACGATATCTTCATATTTCACGAAGGTGGCCCTTTTCTATTTGGCTATTTGTACCATTGTTTCAATGACATTTGAGTAAAAATAATCATCGATTACTGATCTCAGGCAGCTTTTGCCAAATTGTCAGGGAACTCAGATTTGTTTTTCAATAGAAAAACACAATTCTAAAGAATAGTGTTTTAACTATTGACAACAAACCTTCGGTTATTTTATTTTCCAACATTTTCACGCATTTTCAGATTTAATTTTTATTAATGGCTCTTTAGATCGTCGTTCCATAGTCACTGACCGAACAAAGTGCCTACCCTATTTTGCACATTTGACAAGCGTGGGCCGAATGACTAAGAACTGTGGATTTACTGAATCCGCTACGGCGTATTCCATGAAACGGAGGATAATGGTAGCCTGTCGGTTCAATATCAATATGCGATCGCCAGCACTCAGCAGTCTGTTCACATGTCGCCCATGTGATAATTATGAAGGCTGGAGTCTGCGTTGGAAGCGCCAAGCAGCTTCAGTTCAATTTGCTAGTTGCAGTAATTATCAAAACCTTTGTAAGCGTATGTTACATAACCACAAAGATTAGGTACATCTTACATGTTGCTGCTGCCTGCAATAACGTGCACTGCGTTTCGGCAGAGAAAAAACGCCAAGATAACACTTCGGTCTAACAAATAGACATATTTTACTTACTCGAACAAGGTAGGTATTGAATGGTACACTGAGTGACAATCATTGACCTTTGTTAAATGGAATTGTTGAGATGAAATATGAAATACCCTGCGAGTGAAGATATGATCGAAAAGTGCAAAATATAGGTAGGTACGCATACGAACATCGATTTCATGAAGTGATCTTGGTGATGATGACATAACCTGTGGCAGCATGAGTAAATGGTGTATGGCGCTTTTTTGTAATTTAGTTGAGTCGTTTTGTCTCGCGAGCGTTCTTCTGAGGGCGTACGTGACGTCATGCGCGACCTGTCACGTGGCCGGCTGACCAATCGCGTGCCGTCCCGACCCCGGCGCCGGCCAGGGGGGGGGGGGGGCGGGACGTCAGTGCAGGTCACGCTCTTTCCGTGTCCAGCCGCCGTGAGATGCACTTGTGCGACGATGCCTGACGTCTAAAGGCTGAGCTACACTATGCGTTTTCTGCGTGCATTTTTTTTGCGAGTTTGCGTGATTTGCGTAATATCGTTCTAGAAATAAACGACATTACGTTACGCATCATGCCGTGCGATCTTTATCCACTAAGATATTTTGCATACGATCAACTTTCTGCACCGTTCCGTGCTTCTATCCTCAGGATACTGAAATCCTTCTCCTCCACGCCGCAATCCCCCTCCGGGCTGGACAGGCAACTTTATCTCATGCGGGCTGCTCCCTTGGAGCGGCACCGCTGTTCCCGAGGGAGCGCACCCCGTAGCCGGGTGCAGTGAGTACCTTGGGGCTGGGGGCTGGGTGGCTTGTCCTCTGGACGGGCTCAGCCCCGGCGACTCACTAGGGTGCCTGCCCAGACCAATGTCTCCCCCTAATTCCTATCATCCTTCCGGCTCTGCAATGGTCTTGTCAGACCGAAAGGGCCTAACCCAACAAAACAAACAAACAAACAAATCAACTTTCTGCGATCTTCTGCCTTACATTCCTCTGCTTTACGATTTTTTGTCAGGTTACCGCTAATCACAACCTTCCTCTGAATTAAATCCTCGTTTTGGCGTCGTCCATTTATTCAGAATATCCAGTGTCAACTCGATTCATGCTAGTAAGTCTGGACGGATATTTCACATATTATAGCAGATCTATCATACAAAACAGCACGGCAGCGATCCGACATGAGACAGATCTTTCATTGTGCTAGAATTGTCGACATCCGATATAGTTTGACAGATCTCATGATGCATCGCGATATTGTCATGACATCTGACATAGTTTGACAGAACTGGAATACATGACAGCACGACAGGTCATCCTTCAAACGCAAAATCTGACACTTAACACATTTACAAACATTCTGAATCTCATTCACACCGACGCCTCACTTATAAAACACACCACAAAAGCAGTCCTTTTGCAGTTCGACACCCAAGCGACCCCACCCCTCCCATCATCCCATCCCTCCCCTCCAATGATATCCCAACACACGGTACTTCCCACTCGTGCATACAATAACTTAGGTAAAATGGTACATGAAAACTGAGCACTGGACGGATCCGGCGGCTGGCCTCTGCGACCGACCGCACCGGGTCTCTTGGCGAGCGTCTCGTAACGTTACGATCGTTACGACGTTACGTTACGATCCTTGCGACACGTTGCGATCGTTACGACGGTGCGTTACGATCGTTACGACACATTACGATCGTCTCCACGTCACGTTACGACCTCCTCGTAACGTTACGACCGTTACGACACGTTACGATCCTCGTGACGCCGGCATCGCCCACCCGCCCAGAAAAGTGGGCTCTCTCGCGGCAGTCGCGTGTTGAGCCGACGCTACCAGCCGCCCGTAACCCCAGGGCTCGGCTGCAACGTCCGGTAAATGCCCCGCTCCGGAGTCCGGGGGGCCGCTCGGCCTCCCAGACTCGCAGGCTGGTTGGACGGGCTGCCTTCTCCCCTGGCACGGAACCACTAGCGGGCCTGGTCGTCGCTATCGTCTGTCGTGTCGTTCTTGTCTGCGGAAAGGAGGAAGTTTGGTTAGTTTTGTGGTATCTAAGGGTTCAGCTTGCATGCCTAGCATTGCTGGGTTAAGCGTGTATTTGAGGCGTTTGCCACTTCCACAAGCACTTTTAGGTTATTCGTACCTGTCTGGTGTTTGAGATTTTACAGTTCTATGTAGTCATTAAACATGGTGCAGGATGCCCTTTGACAGATCGTGACATTTCAAGAAAGATGTAAAGTAGAAAATTAAAATAACCTCACTGATGAACTATATTTTATTCGGAATCGCATCATAACTGGAATGAAACCAGCTGAAATTTACATCAGACTTGCCCTGGAAAGGCGATGTGAGACTTAACCAGGCCCAAACACCAACAACGCCCGGTAACACTACTGGGCACCTGACCAACACATAAAACACCCCCCCCCCTGTCCCCGCTCTCAACTAACCCTTTTTGCCGGTGTAGGCGTGTTTGCGCAGCCGATCGTACAGCTCGTCCTGACGCGCCGCTCCGTAGATACTGGCGTTCGACCTCGCCAGGCTGTTGGCTTTACCCGGGTGGAGCCCGTCCCTCATGTAGGTCTCGTTGTAGAAGTTGGGCATCTCCCAGGCGTCATCCTCCTCGTCGTAGTAGTGTGCGTAGGTTGAATGGTGGGAAGGAGCGATGCTCTCAGCGTACGGAGTAGGCGCGCCGTAGTAGAAGTTCACCTGTCAGCGAGAATAGGTAAACGTCAGGGGTGAAGGTGGTTGATGTTGATAACTCTAAGTGGATAGAAGCATACATACAATGTTTGGCTCGCAATGAGCGTGTTTACACGTTGTAGTGCTGGGACCAGGGGACTTGGATAAGTTCATTGATGACCGCTATTATAGGGTGTGATGTGATTTACTGAATACGACAATACACTGCATTTATTCATAAGCCCTGACTAAAATCCGCACTAAAAGTTTGAATGCGTGGGGGCGATGAAGAAATAGGAAACGACTCCCGGACACTGTCATCGCAAATCAATACCCAGCGCCCTCCCTAGAGTTACCATCACCACCCTAAACTAAAACTTCCACCACACACCACTAGATGTCTCTGCCACCGCTCACCTGCGACGCAGCATCCGGCGGGATCGTCATGGCCTTCTGTACTGGTTCCTGCTGCTTCTTCTTGTTGGCTCGGACGCAGATCATCCAGACGAATAGCACGCAGACGATGGCGAGAACCACGACACCGGCAACTCCAGCGGTGATGTAGGCGAACTTGGACTTCTCGACACACCGCTCACCTGCGGACAGGGGGGGGGGGGTTGGTTGGTTAGAGCGGTTAGAAGGTAAGAAATGAAGCAGTTGCAAGCCACGCCCGCTGTCCTGTTGAACTAGATCTCCTCAGCCTGATCAGGTATCCCTTAAGTCTTTTGGTAATAACTCAGCTTTTGTAAACACCCGATAAAAACGGAACAAGGCACGAGCTCTGTATTGACCTAAATGGTTTTGCTCTATCACAATACAAAGCGAGCCAAGATATTTTTTCCAGTCCATATTTTCTGCTCGTAATCCACATCTACATGCACCTGAATCTAAATACTGATCTTTAAGAGGAGTCTACTCACCAGTGAAGGAGCCAACGCAGCTACACTTGGGCATTCCCGTTCGCTCGTCCTTCGCGCAGACTCCAGAATTGTCACAGAAGCCTTCACAGCGATCAGTACAGTTGAAGCCATTGCCCTCGAAGCCCAGTTTGCACTCGCACTTGAAGGCGTTTGTTTCGGTGTTGATGAGACAGATGGCGTTGGCGTCACACTTTTTCTGGTCTCCGGCTCCGTCGCACGGGTTTACGCACTGTTCAGCGCTGGTGGCACCAACCTGAGGGCGAGGGGGAACAGTGGTTAGATAGGCCACATTATTTAGCGGAAACGGAGACTGGTGGGGGATAACGGATGAGCTAATTAGAAACAAATACTTAGAAATTAAGTATTTGAGCTAATTAGAAACAAATACTTAAATCTTTTGATCTTTTATGGCATTGCACTGTGCTCTTTAGAACCCCAAGAACGTGACTTTAAAATGAGTCATAACATTACAGCATTGTAGCGCAGGTATTTCCAGCAACAATGTCTACTAATGTTGCAACGACGCCAGACTATGACTGTGACTTCAGTAACTGACTGAGACTGTCTGACTGGGACTTCAGTGATTGATGAGTGACAGTATCACTAACTGACTGTTGACTGTGACTGTGACTGACCTGCTCTGTGGTGGTATCGGGCCGGCACTCAATGCACGCCGTCTGCTGCGACTTGGGCTGGTACGTGCCCAGAGGACACTCCATACATCGGTTGCCGTCCGTCGTGTTCAGGAAGGTGCCTGTGGAACACGGGAAACGAGCGAGTGAGCGACTTAGAGCACATGATACAACAGTGTAACTATCATACCAGCACAAACATACCTTACCATTCTTAGCGAAATTGAGCAAAGTACAGACTATGCGTCTATGCATCTATGCGGATAACGGTGCAATGCTCTCACGTAAAACATGGTATCTTGCCGAAGCTTAAGCATCTCGTGTAATGAAAACGGCAATACATGCTCTTTAGTGCATACAAAACATCGATGCAAACGCAGCGTTCACATTCTAAAATGCATGTCACACAAACACCGACATTTATGTCCACATAAACTGCCACAAAATATTTGATTTCCGCAACGAAATCCCAAATAGTACGCTACTTCCTCTGTAGTATCCCAAGTCCCAACCCACTCCCCCTAAACACCTTATGTTTTCCTTTGTCCTGTGGTTATCCTCCCATACGCTAACCCTAACCCCGTGTTATCCTTACCCTCGCGGCAGATGGGCAGTGAACACTGTTCCACCGTGCTCGAGCCCAGGTCCAGTGTGGTGGTTCCCTCGGGACAGGCCACACAGGCTGGCTGCTCGCCACGTGTGCGGTACGTGCCACGTGCACACGGCTGGCACGAGTTGTCCAGAGAGAGCTGCTCACCGTCGTCACACTCGGGCTTACACTCCTGTGGGGAGTGGGGACGGGGTGAGTTACACACTCGATCCATGTAAATTACAACACATGTGAGGAGCAGGAAAAGAGTTCGCCCTGTCCTTGGCAGAAGTTAAGCATTCTCTATATAGCAGACGCGAGCTCAAATATCCTTTCTATGGGTTGGCAAAACCAGTGCTAAAGCGTTAAAATGTTAAAAGTGAACAACACCGGTCAAAGTCGGTCAAAATTGAGTCGTCCTTCACAAATACAGCTGTATAAACTCGACTAACCGACAGAAATTAACAACTAACACGGTCTTTTCCATTGTAGAAACTAACACTGAAGAAAGAAATTACGGGCCTTAATTAATTAATAAATTACATAGCCTTAGAAAAATGAAATGGTAAACTCCGCGACTTTTCCCTACGGTAATGTCCCGTCTCACCTCTCCGGTGACACTCTCCGAGGTGCGCGTGGTCAGGCCGGGCCCGCACGGGGAGCACGAGAACTGTCCCTCCTCAGGCTGGTAGTTGCCGAAGCCGCAGGCGTGACAGCGCAGCAGTTCGTTGTCGTAGTAGCGGCCGGCGGAGCAGCGCTCTGGGGAGGGGGAGGGGGGAGGTTAGAGATGGAAAATACAGTAACGCTCTGGGGACAGGAAAGGCAGGGTTAGAGAGAATGCAGGAGACGGGTGGGTTACAGCTAAAAAGAGCACAGTATACTTGGGGAGCTGGGCACACAGATAGAGTTTGAGAGCAGAGGGAGTCTGCAGAAGCAAGTGACAACTGATAAAGTTGCAAGATAACAAACCGTTAGATGAGGGAATTAGTGAAAATAAGTCAAAAGAGCCTCAAACAAAATGAAGGTCTTCACTTCAATCAGCCTGCACGCAGTTCATGCCGAGGTAATTGATATCAAGAGGTCCAGGCAATTAATTCTCCCGCCATTCAACGACAAACACAACTATGACGCAGAAAACTAAAAAAGTGCTTCAATCACACTGAAACAGCCATTCTCTTCGCGTTCCTCCATCTCTCCTTGTTACTCACCTTTGCACTCGCCGACGCTCTGCGCGCCGCGGATGGCTGTAACCCCCGGTCGGCCGGCGATGGCCGGGCAGGGGATACACGACGACTGCCCCAGCTGATCCTGATAGGTACCCAGTGCACACTTCACACAGGTGCCCGTGGAGCGCTCGTAGAACGTACCCGCCGCGCAGGATACTGTGAAATGACGTCAGGTCAGGTCAGATAAGGTCAGATCAGTCTGTCTTAGAATTGGTAGAGTGTCACTGCATGGCGCAGTGAGGCATTGTTAAATTCAGCTGAGCTATAATGACTATAAATTTGTCAGCTCTCAAAGCTTCACGGAGCGCTGCAGAAACTTCAGACATGCAAGAATCATATTCACACATTGATCCATTAGTTTTAAACAGGCTGTTCTTTCCTGTGCATAATCTTAGACTCGGTCACACATCGATGATCCCTTCAATGGTATCGCCGCTCCTTATAACACTAGTAAACCCTTCCCAGCATATCGTTTGATTATTACCTTCTCATTTACCCAGCATGAGTTATTCCTTTCCCCACTAGTTACCCAATTTACGCTGACCCGCCGTTACACTTACCACACTGGTCACCGAAGACTACCTTTCCGGGTTCACAGTAGTACTCTGAGCCCAGTTCCAGAGAGGCCGGGTCAGGGACCACGTTAGGCAGCTGAGACTGAACGTCAAATTCGCCCTAAAATGAGCGCAAAGTCATGTCAAAACTCACCTCGAAACAAACAGCGGTTATACGGGGCAGAAGGGAAACAACCTTTGAATGATGCACAGGTAATGGAGCCGGTAACACAAGGCAGATGGGACTGCAAATCAAAGAACAACATCAAACCAATAAGTATTGAGACTAGTACAAACAAATGTAGGTACGCTATATGAAACAAATAACCGTCTTCACGTCGAGCTGCTCGCTATGAAATACATATGCAAAGAAACGTACAAATAATTATTTGTAGAATGCATAGAAGCATTTGTACGCTAGACTCACTGAATAAAAACGAAACCAGCATGGAAGAGGGTATGAAGCAAACCGTTTTACAGCATTACATTATCACAAGACACTAGCCCCAGAACATTCTTCACGGCCCTAGATGTAATCAAACTCACATTTTCCAGAATGATCCTCTCTATGAGCGCCTGAACATCAGCTGCCTGGTTGGTGTCGGCGTTTGTGACCGGTCCGCTGTAACGAACGGACGACATTGGTCAATTGAAAACTCGGGAATAGTTACGGCAAAACTTTCAGCTGGTGTGAATCGCGGAAACATGTACAACATTTATTTATCCCTAGTAAAATAAAAACGATGATAAGCAAGTCCGCTTATGCCTAGATAATGGATATTCATCCATTCATTCATGGTTACAGTTTCACATCTTCTTAAAAAAAAACGGAACATCGCAACCCGATATAGTAATGCAGGATTACTTCAAAATATGCAATAGAGTCTGCACCACCATAATAGATTTCAACATGTTCTCAAATGAGCTGATGACGCAAACTGTCTTCCTCATTCAAAAGCCCGTCGACGCAATGTCCCCGGTACCAGATGTTCAATAAGCCATTCCACACTCAATCAATCATTGAGCGTAACTAATTACGAGACCATGAGCTGCTGTTTTGTACTCACTTCTGAGCCGGGAAGCTGATTTCCACCTCGTAGAGGCCGTCGTTCTCCGTTTGCCGCTTGGAGCGGGCGCGCTGGCCGCAGTTGACGTTCACGTTCAGACCATCACACTCGTCACCTGGGGAAGAACAAAAGTGTCACGAGCTGAACACCTCCTTACAATACTGACAGTTGACGCTAGTACACCTCACGGCACTGGCAGTTGACACACCTTCTCGTGACACTGACAATGACACACTTGACCTCGCAGTGACACATTACAACATGTATTACCTTCCGATTATACAATGGCGTTTTATTGCTATAACGTAGTATTAAATGGGAAATTGAATTATAGCCATGTTATATCAATGTAAGTCATCGATGTTATGTATTTTTTACGAAAAAAACTGATCTGTCGAATGCTCGTCTGCTCATTTCACGAACCTTTTATAACAGTCGTTCACAGTTATTTCATTGTGGCAAATAACTGGTCCCAGTGTGCCCACATTACGGATTCAGTGAGTTATCGGTGCCAACTTTGACGCGGCACCGATAGCTATATCAACAACCAGGTTCGTTGTGCCATAGACATACATTATACATTACGTAACCAGTTATACCATCCCATATACCCCCGGAACCATCCCAAAAATCCCTCCCACATACCCCGGTACCAGTCACAACTGGCGGTCAGTACACCCCATATACCGACAATCCCACACCGTCCCCATATACCCCCGGTACCAGGCACAAAGGGCGGTCAGTCCACCTCATATACCCCCGATACCAGGCACAACTGGCGGTCAGTCCACCCCATATACCCACACCACCCCATATACCCCCGGTACCAGTCACAACGACCGGTCATTGGCTACCCCATATACCCCCGTTACTGTATGCCTGGCCTATTCAAATACATTAACCAGAGGGGTGTGGTAATAACTGGTGTAAGCAAATTGACCACGGTCAAAAATGCATTACCAGAATGCACTTAAGCCAACATTTTGGGATGGTCTCGTTCCTAAGTCGGCTAAGAGCTTCGGTCCAGAAAATTAACCCGCGCACCGACGGGGGGGGGGGCGGATATCCGCCCCCCCCTGAGGTTTTTCGCGGATAGCGGGAAAACCGCGGCGCGTAGCGCCGCGAAATTTGGTATGACTATTCTCTCATCAATTTTACACATGGTGTGCAAGTTTGAACCTCCTAACTTTTAAGGTCAGGTCACCAGGTCACTTTGAATGACCCAACCTCAAGTCACTTTTTTGCAACTTTGTCACCGTGCCAGAGCTACAGTAGATGTCGGAGGCCTTTGAAAGTCGCAGGATGTTATTAGGTCATTAGTAGCTACAATTTGTTTATCTCGGAATTTTGATGTCGGTGACCTAAGGTCAGGTCAATTTCGCGACCTCCCCATTATAAGTCAATGGGGGAAAAATCAACTCCCTGTTTTTACCACTAAAACGGGTCGGAATGGCCCCATATACCATACATGACTTCACATACGATCAACCTTCACTACCTTGAGGTCTGTTTTGCTGTTGGGCAGCTGTAAGGTCATGTGACGTCATCAAAGGTCACCAAAGGTTTTTTGCCAATAACTCTTACAGGAACAAGATACAGCCGCGCGGATGGTCTCATTGTGTTCAGCTCGTCAAGACGCATCGAATGATATACATGATGACCTCGAGGTCACGTGACCTGAGGTCAACCTTTGACCTTGACCTTTCGAGGTCAACATATATATCATTCGATGCGGATTGACGAGAGGATCACGATGATGCCCTTAGTTTGTTCCTATATTGACTACTTCGAAAGTTATTCGAGAAAAACCCTCTCCATATCTAGCGCCGCCATTTTGACTTTTTCGACCCCTGTGACGTCATCTTTGACCTGACCTGAAAATGACCTTAGTAAAAATTGTAGACCTTGTCCGTGCGTATCCGATGCCGTTTACCGCTTGTCGCTATCTTGCTTCGTTCTCGAGATCTCAGGGGGGGGGGGCGGTCATCCGCCCCCCCCCCCGTCGGTACTAAGTTGGCGCAGACCCCCGTCGGTGCGCGGGTTAATTTATCGTTGGCATACAGTAAAATACATACCAAACTCGGCCGGTGATAGATTTTCAAGACCTCAGTCCTTACTGATTTTTGAACTCGGCCTTCGGCCTCGTTCAAAAATCCAGTAAGGACCTCGGTCTTGAAAATTTATTTACACCGGCCTCGTTCAGTATTATATAGTACCAGTCACAACTGGCGGTCAGTCCACCCCATATACCCACAATCCCACACCATCCCCCTCCCCATATATACCCCCGGTACCAGGCACAACTGGCGGTCATTGGCCAGCCCTCTGAGCACACCGTCCGACAGCTGGCGTCGACTGAGGTGCGCGTCTCACGCGGTCCACCTGCCCCCAGGGGCCGCTGGGAGCCGGGCCCAGTCAACGACCCCGCCACCGCCGCTAACAGCCGCGGCCGCTGAATGGAATCAGAGGGCGACGTAAAAGGCAGCGGTTCGGTAGACGCTGATTTGTGATCAGAGTGGATTTAGAACGAATATGGGATCGGAAAAGCTGTGTCAATCGCCACACTCGAAAATTCCAGAAAATCAGTTCTGACATTAGAGAACATGTCCCTTTACTTTAAGTCACTGAGTGTTTTGGTGTGTCTATGGCTCTCTCCATCGTATAAGTCGTGCATCTGATTTGGAACAGGACCTGCTCTGGTACTCCATCGCCCTCCATCAGCCATCCGGGACACGGTACAGACTCCGGGCGGTCCGACCGTCCACCGGCGCGCCGTCCCGTGGGCTCGGGCTCCGTCCCACCGTGATTAAATCGCCACTTACCGTCCCATCGCCCCGCGTTCCAGCGCGTCGGTACTCCGAGACAAACAGGTCGGACATGGGGCGGCCGGCGCTCCCCTCCCGCTCTTTCCCTCCACTCCCATACCTACTCTACCCTTTGCCGACACACGTACTCGCTCGCCATTCCTGACCCTCTCTCTCTCTCTCTCTCTCTCTCTCTCTCTCTCTCTCTCTCCTCTCTCCTCTCTCTCTCTCTCTCTCTCTCTCTCTCTCTCTCTCTCCTCTCTCTCTCTCTCTCTCTCTCTCTCTCTCTCTCCCTCTCTCTCTCTATTCCAGACTCTTCTCTAATCTCTTTCCCCTCTCTCTTTCTCTTTCTCTCTCTCTACTGTAGTGGTCAGCTAGTGAAGAAGGGAGCGACCAAGAACCGGGGTCAAGCCGGCACGATACGGCCCGTGGACACTACAGTAGCCAAGAAGAGACTGCGACATCGGATGTAAAGATAACACCGGGAGACTGCAGCGGAGCATGACAAGCTAACACCAAGATACTGCAGCCGTGGATAAGTCACTAGCACCAAAAGCCGAAAATCCGAGCGGCAACGTTTAGTCGTTTGTATGGACGTTTGTCAATTTGCTTGCATCAAAAGCAGTTGCCAACGAGGGGACTGCAACTGTGAGTGGGCTACTAACACCACGGCGACCCTCTCAAGCCATCTAGCAGCAAATTACAACGCATGGAAAAGTATTGGAGCTGCCAGCACTCAGGAGACTTCAACGAAGGGCAAGTGCCTAGCACCGAGAGACTGCAACGAAACATAGGTCGCTAGCACCACAGTCCCGAAGACAAGAGATTGAAAGCACCCATCATGGAGACTCTAACGATACATAAGTCGCTAGCACCACGAGACTGCGATGGAGAGCTAGGCTCTACCACCGGATTTCTTCGTCACATCAACATGAGTCGATGATTCGCGTCTAATTTCCACTCATAGCTCTCCCTTGACTCATGTGACCCACATTGCTTACCCAGCCGGGTAGTCAGCACTATCTAAGAGTCACCGTTCGCCCTGTAGGCTAGCTTCTCAATAGATACCGGTGTTCCGACCTCTAGGAACACCAGTTGATAACATCAGAGAACTTCGGCCGAACCGGCGCAGTCTGCACCAAAATAGGTCAGTATAGCGGTGCTAAACGCCTGCAAACTAATATACTTAGCCGTGAACTGAATATCGTAGCACATAGCTCTACACACTTCAAAACGAAAACTTTATGTCGAATAATATCCAAAATAAGCCACCTAGCTTCGACGTCTCAATCCATCAAATTCGCCGATCGTCGTCAGTCTAGCGGAACCGACCATCCCCACATGTGGCCACGAGCCGACGAGGAGGCCGGCTGTGACGTCAGACGGGTGCATTCCAGCACCGCCGAGCCGAGCCGAGGAGGTCGACGACCCACTTCCACCGGCGTGCCCGCGGCGGCGGCGGCGGCGGCGGCGGCGGCGGCGGCGGCGGCGGTGGTGGTGGCGGCGGTGGTGGTGGTGGTGGGAGGCTCCTGGGAGACCGGTGGTGACGACGCAGGCAAAATAGGGTGGGGTGGAGTGTGGTGTGGGACGTGGGGTGACGTGGAGAGGTGGTCAGTTGGATTGGCAGGTGTTTTGGGGAGAGAGAGGGAAGGTGAGGGAGGGAGGGAGGGAGGGAGGGAGGGAGGGAGGGAGGGAGGGGGAGGGGGAGGGGGAGGGAGAGAGAGAGAGAGAGAGAGAGAGAGAGAGAGAGAGAGAGAGAGAGAGAGAGAGAGAGAGAGAGAGAGAGAGAGAGAGAGAGAGAGAGAGAAATGGAAGGAAGTAAGAAATAAGACCAGGGAGAAAGAGAGCTCTTGAGATGGATATCATAACTCTAATCCCTCCAGTTTCAAAGAATCCAGTTCCAACCCAACAAGCTGCTCGTCTAGTTCCAATGACAGCTTATCTGTCTAATCAATCAATCTCACAAGGAACCAGCGCAAAACTACACCCGCCCTTCTTTCATTCGGTGCAAGTCCAGTGTGCCACTAAGCCGCTACTTCGGACCAGCCTTAGCTAGGTCACCAAGGGTCGCCCACCAGGCGCTGGCACCTTGCCAAGATCGCCGGCCACTGCCGATATACGTCAACCGGCAGCTCACAAGGGCTGGAGCTTGGAGCATCGCCAATGCGAAATGAGCACATCCGTATAGCTCCTGGCTGTTGGGAATTCGCCTATTTGTGGATTTGGGTAGGTGGGAACTACACTTTGATGGGTCTGATAGCCGGAAAGTGAAACACGACGCCGAAATGGGTCCTGGGAGTGGGAAACCAGT